GGGCCCTCGGCTATGCTGGGCGGGTCCTTTTGGCTGCCCTTGGCCTAGGTCAGGGTCTCAGGGTGGGGGGCACTGCATTTTCAAGCAGGGAGGGAGGAAGGTGTGCTCAGCATTGAGGACAAAAACTCAGAGACCCTTCCCAGGGAGCCCCTTTGCCTCTCCTACCTCAGATCCTGACGAAGCCCTGGCCAGGGCCCACGCAGCTCCCTTCTGTCTCCGGAGAGTGGCTGGGACAGGACTGGGAGCAGATGAGAGAGGCTAAGGTCCCTATGAGGCAGTTCTTGGGCACCTGGCTGTGCCCTCACTGAACGCTGCCTGCTGTGCCGAGGGGCTGTATGGCCAGGCTCCTGCCGTGTGTGTCCCCAGGTGCTGATCCCCGTGTTCGCGCTGGGCCGCGCCCAGGAGCTCTGCATCCTCCTGGAGACCTTCTGGTAGGTGCCACCGGGATGGCTCTCTCAGGAGCCCCTGGCCCAGCCTGCACAGTTCAGTCGGTGGGCAGCCCTGCCCAGGGTGCTGGTGGCATCTCAGCCCTGCTTGCTGCTGTCCTGGGGGGCTGCTTGTGTGCTGTGTGACCCCAGGAGGCCTGTGACGTCCGGTCAGCGTCACTGTCTGCGGCTCTTGTAGGGGTTCCTGGTCCTCCGCTGAGCCTGGCTGCTTTAGGGCTTAATGGGACATAGGCTGAGGGCACTGGCCTCCTGTGGTTGCGACTGGACTCAGCCCGGCCCATGCATGGGCTGTGCAGATACAGGTGTGGGGGTGACCCGGCCGAGTCCTGCCCTGCAGTGTCCTCCCCTGTGGCCGCTGTGCTGACCGGGCCGGTGGTCCCCAGGGAGCGCATGAACCTGAAGGTGCCCATCTACTTCTCCACGGGGCTGACCGAGAAGGCCAACCACTACTACAAGCTGTTCATCCCCTGGACCAACCAGAAGATCCGCAAGACTTTCGTGCAGAGGAACATGTTCGAGTTCAAGCACATCAAGGCCTTCGACCGGGCTTTCGCTGACAACCCAGGGCCGATGGTGAGACCCGCGGCAGGGCTGGCCAGCACATCCACGTCTGTCGGCCTCCTGTCTCCTGCAGGTCTCTGGGCTGGGCCTGCAGTGGTGGTGGGGGCATCGCTGCCCTGAACCCCCCCCCGACCCTGTGTGTCCTGCAGGTTGTATTTGCTACGCCAGGGATGTTGCACGCCGGGCAGTCCCTGCAGATCTTCCGGAAATGGGCCGGAAATGAAAAGAACATGGTGAGGGCGCGGTGCGGTGTGGGAACCTGGAAGCTGGAGGCTGGCGGGTTGTCCTTCCTCCCGTGCTGTCTCTGCGCTCCGCTCTTGCTGGCCTCGCGCTGGCCGAGGGACGTGGCTGCTGCTGCCAAGGGACGGGGGTGACATCGCCTGGAGCTGCTCAGTCTCCCTGTGACGTAGCCCGTCCACCTCAGGCTGTACAGCCCCAGCCCAGCCCCGGACAGTCTTGTGGCAAAACCTGAGCCCTTTGGCGTCTGCAGCTAGGCTTGGTCGGGCACTGCTGGCAGGTGGAAACAGCTTCCAGGGGTTCAGGTGGGGACATCCCAGGGAAGGCCCTGAGGTGCCAAGGCTGGGGTCCCGTGGCTGTGAGCTCTGTGTCTGCCCCCAGGTCATCATGCCCGGCTACTGCGTGCAGGGCACCGTGGGCCACAAGATCCTCAGCGGGCAGCGGAAGCTGGAGATGGAGGGGCGGCAGGTGGTGAGTCCCGACCCCGTGCTGGGTTGGCAGGGCAGAGGGGCACCTCCTGGTGGTAACCACTGTCCACACCCCGTGGCCTCCGCAGCTGGAGGTCAAGATGCAGGTGGAGTACATGTCATTCAGCGCACACGCGGACGCCAAGGGCATCATGCAGCTGGTGGGCCAGGCAGAGCCGGAGAGCGTGCTGCTGGTGCATGGCGAGGCCAAGAAGATGGAGTTCCTGAAGCAGAAGATCGAGCAGGAGCTCCGTAGGCAGCCGGGCGGGCGGCGTGGGGCCCACCTTGGTTCGATGCAGGCAACCTGGGCTGAGGCTTTCTCTTCCCGGGGTCCAGGAGTCAGCTGCTACATGCCGGCCAATGGCGAGACGGTGACGCTGCCCACAAGCCCCAGCATCCCCGTAGGCATCTCATTGGGACTGCTGAAGCGGGAAATGGCGCAGGGTATGTGGGCCGGGCAGGGAAGGGCGCTCGGGGCAGGCAGCTGGGAGTGGCCCTTGCGTTGACAGCTGCTGCCGCCTCTTCCACAGGGCTGCTCCCCGAGGCCAAGAAGCCTCGGCTCCTGCACGGCACCTTGATCATGAAGGACAGCGTGAGTGCCAGGACAGCCTCTGGAGGGGGGAGGGCCGCTGCTGTGCTCCCTGACCTGCCCCTGCCCCACAGAACTTCCGGCTGGTATCCTCAGAGCAAGCCCTCAAAGAGCTGGGTCTGGCCGAGCACCAGCTGCGCTTCACCTGCCGCGTGCACCTGCACGACACGCGCAAGGAGCAGGAGATGGCGTTGCGCGTCTACAGCCACCTCAAGAGGTGGGCGCCCGGCCCCGCCCCCCGACCCCTCAGGTCCCCCCACCCCTCGGGCCCCGGGGGCCAGGCAGGGTCTCACCGAGCCTCCCCACAGCGTCCTGAAGGACCACTGTGTGCAGCACCTCCCGGACGGCTCTGTGACTGTGGAGTCCATCCTCATCCAGGCCGCTGCCCCTTCTGAGGACCCGGGCACCAAGGTGCTGCTGGTCTCCTGGACCTACCAGGTAAGGGGTGGCCCCCAGCCCACCGCGGTCAGCACAGGTGTCACCACCCCTCCCTGTCCTGCACGGCCCATGGTGCTCTTGCTTCTGCCCTAGGACGAGGAGCTGGGGAGCTTCCTCACATCTCTGCTGAAGAAGGGCCTCCCCCAGGCCCCCAGCTGAGGCCGGCATCTCACCCAGCCACCACCTCTGCCCTCTCCCAGCTGGACAGAGCCGGGCCTGCACTTCAGACTGTGGGTGCCCTGAGTGAACAGACCCTCAGGTCCCATCCCTGGGGACAGAGACCGTGTGTCATGTGCCCACCCAGGCAGCTGTTTCCAGCTAAAGAGAAACTGGCCTCCGGGCTGTCTTGCCTTTATTCCTGCTCCTGGGCCCCCAAACGATGGTTAGGGCAGGGAGTCCCGGACAGCAGTTTCCAGTAAAAGCTGAACGAAAGGCTACTTGGTACCTTCTTCTCGGTGTCCATGGCTGTGTCCTGCACTGCACCCCATCCCGCCTACGATACAGAGGGGCATCCAGGCTGGTGGGACCTGGGCAGGGAGGCTGCTGTGGAGGCTGGGCAGCAGTGCTGTGGGCCCCAAGCGGCTGACCGCCCTGCTTGACCAGCAGAGGGTTGGGCCTGGTGTGGCCTGACTTTGCCGAGTGTCCCGGGTCATCTGTGGCTTCCGAACTGTGGCCCCTGCAGGGTGCAGGAGGCAGCACCTGTGGACAGACCAGACCCTGCATCAGCCTGGGGCAAGGTCGGCCCACCCTCCCCACCACTGGGACCACTCCCATGGCCAGGGAGTGGGTCAGCCCAGGACGGGCTGGGCTGAAGGACTGTGACCCTGGGCGGGGGGTTCCTTTACCCCCATTGCTGCGGTCAGCGGCCCCCGGCCTCCCCACTCCACGCCATGGCCGCAGCAGTCACTGGGCACATAGCAGGAGCTTCCCAGGCCCACTCCTCTTACCGAGGCTCCCATACAGCACGGACTTGAGGAATAAGCCGTGGGCTGGGGCCACACGTGCCTGGTGCTTCCCCAGGGGGTCTCGGCTCTCCAGAATCGTCTTCACCTGGGCAGGTGCCAAAGCCCCCAGCCCCACGGCCACCAGCACAGCGGTCATCCTCCGTACCTGTGACCCAGGGCCGAGATTGCACAGAGGCCTGCCCACCCTCAGCCCCATCCCCCAGGGAGGGCCCCAGAACCAAGCCCACCTGTCTATACAGGAAGGACTGACTCTCAAACTCCAGGCTCCAGAACCGCAGCTTCCTGGAAACACACGTGCCTGTAGGTGTCTGTGGGGCAGCGCCTGCCGTCCCCAGCCTACCACGTGGCCTCGGACAGGAGACTGACAGGGCGGGCTGGTTCCCCCGGCTGACTCCCTGCCCCCAGAGAGGCCCATTGGAGAGGCTTAAAACCAGACAAGCAATGCTTGGCCAAGGAGGCAGCAGGACCCTGGAGGCTGGGCAGGTAGCCTGGCTGTGCTGGAGGGGCTTGCCCTGGGCCCTCCCCTAGGGTCCTGGTGCAGGGTCTGGGAACATGGCTGGTGCGTGTGCCAGAGACCCCAGCCCTGTACTTGCTACTCTGATGCAGGAGTCTGGGGCCGGCAGAAGTTCTTCCTCCCTTCAGGGCTCACCCCAGCAGGGGAGGTTTTGTGGTCAGAATCTGCCACCTGGTGGGTGGCCCTCTGGACAGTGATGGGGCAGCAGAAACCACCCCTGCCAGGCTGGGCCAGAACCACTGGCACCAGCGAAACCTTTCCAGTGGCTGCCAGAATTCTGTTAGGCAGGGCAGGGTTTTCAGAGACAGGCAGCCTTCCCTGTCCTCTGCCCCCCAGCCGGGGTGGGGGAGGGCACAGCTGCAGGCTGGGGGGTGTCCGGGCCACTCCAGCTGTCCAGGTTCTGAGGACAGCTGTCCCGATTCGCCTGCCTTAAAGCTGGGGGAGGTGCCGGAGCTAAAATCAGCGTGTGACCTGAGGGCAGGGCCACAACCCACAGGCCCTTCCTCACCTGCTCTCCTCGGGGGTGACCAAGGGGCTGGCCTGGCCTGGGGACACGGAGACACGGCGCAGCGTTCGCACAGGGCTTGGCACCGGGCTGCCGGCCGACTGGAACGCGCTGAAGTCATGTGTGCCGAGGAGGTGCTGGGCAGCTTCTTGCATGGCGGCCACATCCAGGCAGCTTCAGGGAACAGGGTAACCGTCAGGAGGTGGGGCCTGCCTGCCCCTCCCGGCTCACTGTCAGGGCCGCACTCACTCTGCCTGGAGAGTCCAGCATAGGTTGCGTTCAAACACCGGCAGCTCAGCAGGCCGGTGACAGCCAGTGACCAGGCGGTACAGGTAGGTCCGGGACGTGGCTGCGTGGCGAGCGTGGAAGTCGCTGGGCACTCGGAAGGCCCGCAGGACCCTGTGGCAGCAGGTCAGGCTCACCGGAGGAACGACCCTGCCCGTCTGCCCAGGTGTCACCTCCTGTCTCCTCCACCCCCGAGCTCTGACCAGACGACGAAGTCTGTGCAGACCTCCAGCCTCCGCCCGCAACAGAATCGGGAAGGCCGAGCTCCAGGGGCTGCTCAGGTCGCCGGCTCACCTGATGGCCGGGTGCCGCAGGTGGGTGTTGAGGGCCTCGGCCAGGACCTCGGGCGGGAAGGGC